GCAATAGGTATAGAATGGATGTTAGTATGTGATTGTTTCTCCTTTTCCCCATTAACCTCAATTCCCCTTTTCCTTTTTGTCACCCTTCTTGTTAAAAAATAAAAAATTATAAATAAATAAATAAATAAATAAATAAAAAGAAACAGACACAGTAGTATGTCCTAAAGTCCACATCTTGACTGGTTCCTCCCCTGCTAAAGCTAAAACGTTGATCACACCCAATGTCTTAACCAGAAGATAGAAAAGTGGAACCTAATGGGAACAAGCAGATCTCTTGATCGAAGTAACCTCATTAAATATATTCATATACTGTCTGGATGTCTATTTATTCATACGTTATTTATTTCAAATACTTTAGACCAGGGTCCCCAACCCCTGGTCCACGACCTGGCACTGGTCCATGGCCTAGGTAGGAGCGAGCCACAGACACAGACTTCCTGCCCCCCTCCATGTGAGTGCACCATGCCTCTGTGCACCACGCCCCCAGGCGAGCATGCCACACACCCCATGCACGGACACCCCCCCAACTTATCCACGGTTGGGAAAAGGTTGGGGATGACTGCTTTAGACCACACTTCTAGAAACAGTACTCTCAAGGTACAGTCATGCCCCGCTTGACGATTACCCCGTTTAATGATGAATCCGCTTCACGATGGTTTTTGCGATCGCAAAAGCGCTCGCAAAATGATGTTTGAATGGGTCTTTTTCGCTTAGCGATGATCGGTTCCCTGCTTCGGGAACTGATTTTTCGCTAAATGATGTTTTTCAACAGCTGATCGGCAGTTTTCAAAATGGCTGCCGGCTCTCAAAATGCCCCCCCGCTGTTTTTAGGAGGCATTTTCCGCAAGACGGGCACGGGAAAATGGCTGGCCTATGGAGGATCTTCGCTTTACGATGAGGTATTTCGCCCATTAGAATGCATTAGCCGGTTTCTATTGCATTCTAATGGGATTTTTAATTTTGCTTGACAAGGATTTTACTTAACAGCTATTTCAACGGAACGGATTATCCTCGCCAAGCAAGGCACCACTCCATATGAACAATATGATACTAAAATCTTGCAATATGTTACAGTAAAACTGAAGTAATGTAACAACATATTTAAAATGTCAACCACAGTAGTTACATTCCTTTCCTCTCAAAAGTCAATGATACGAGGCAAAAAAACACCCCCTGAAAGCACAGAAATAGAGAACAAGGTGGAATATCATAAATATATAAAACTTCTATATCATAAATATATAAAACTTAAACCAAAGATGATGCCAAAATGCAATCTTTCATATGAATGATTTGCCAGTTATAACCATGATGCTTTGTTGATGTGGGAAACTTTAATAAAAATTTAATAATAAATTAACTTTAATAAATTAAAGTTCTTTCAAAACATAATCCACTGAATCTGAAGATTACACTTATTAACTGTCATCTGAGTAAGGACCTGTTCTATCCCCCTCTTTCTCCTGTAGTTGTCAAAGCACTTGAAATGATCTCCAGAGGGCAAAAGAAAAGAAAGGGAGACAGTTCCTTACTCAAATGAAATCCACCATGTACAGCCTTTAGATTCAGGGAGTGCAGTAGAAGAAAATCAGAAAGAGGCACCTTATAGAAACAGAAGGGTGTTCTAGGAGACAGAAGGAGATGAAGAAAATCCTTATGTGAACAAGGACCCAACCCAATTCATTTTTATATAGCAATTTATTACCTTTATCTTCATAGTACATACCATTATGTAACAATTGGTTGCTTGAAAGATTACTGTTCCCATGTTTCTCTTTTTTAACAGTCTTAGAATCTTAAAGAAGAAAAGAAAAGGAATAGATTTTGAATTATTAATTGTATAAATGAAACTGCATGAATCTATAATATTTAAAATATGATGAATTTTCTTTAGGCACATGGAATTATAACACAACATCTTATACATCTATATAGGCATCCCAGTCTGTTCAACAGTGCTTACTCCTCTGTAAATGGGTACAGGACTGCAACCTACATCTGTAGCACTAAGCACTTTCTCTAAGAAGTAAGCCAAGTGAATTAAACAGGATTTTCATCTGAGTATGCATCGTTAGGACTGCACTAGAAAATAAATTTTATTGCAAGGTATAGACTTTAAAAACACTAGGGAGAAATAACATTATGAAATACCAAAAACTAATAGAGAAAGCAAAACAGCACACACACACACACACAACTTTGGAAAATGATGTTTCATGTAACTAGAATGTATTGCCATGTTTGGTGTTATAGTGACTAGCATAATTTTTGAAATAACTAAGGAAAGTAAAATGTCTGCCAGCTAATGGAGTGAGAGAATCCTTCTTTCTCTTGCTTGCTGCATTGAGCTGAACACTTAACAAAAATCAGGAAATAAAAAGACTGCTGAGTCTAAGATGGTAATCCTAACTTCTGGCCTTTCAAGGAGTTTTCAATAAACTGAAATTACTTCCACATCTTCAGTGGGGGTTCAGTAATAACTACAGTGGTGCCCCGCTTAACGATTACCCCACTTGACGACGAATCCGCTTCACAATGATGTTTTGCAATCGCAAAACGATGTTTTAATGGGCTTTTTTTGCTTCCCGACGATCGGTTCCCTGCTTCGGGAACCGATTCTTCGTATTACAACAATCAAAACAGCTGACTGTCAGGTTTTCAAAATGGCCACCGGATGCTTGAAATTGTTCCCCGCTGTTTTTAGGAGGCATTTTTCGCTGCACAGGCACCCGAAAATGGCCACCCTATGGAGGATCTTCGCTGGACGAGCAGGTATTTCGCTTGACGAGGATTTCGCTCTACAGCAATTTCGCTGAAATGGATTATCCTCATCAAGCAAGGCACCACTGTACAATTTCAGCTAGAATGAAACCTGCCCTTACATGTAGACACTGGGAGGAAATAGTGGAAATGCAGGGTGCATTGGACTAGGCATCCTTCAGTCTCGAGAGACTATGGTAACGTGCTCTGTATGGAGAACTTGGAACAGCATCTAGTGTGGCTGCAGTCACGAAAGCAGCAAAATCAGGGGGTGCATTGAAGTGCACAATTGCTGGGTTCTCCCTCCACGGTCACAGACCAACACCAACAAAAGTGACTAATTAATCAACAGCCACGCACAGTGCTGGCTGGGTACCCTTCTCTTCCACTACTTGCTTCTAGAGCTCAAAATGGGAAGGCAGAAATTTTCTCTCTTCCCCCCCCCCTCTACATTATGCAGCTGTGAACAGTTTCTTCTACCAAACTACTCTGCAGCTGGCACCAATTATTTTGCATGTAGCCAATTCACTTTCATAAGACATAAGGAAAGTATAGGTATTTTCATTTTGTTGCACACACTCTGAAGACATAATAGGGCTTCAGTCTGCCTGCTGGAAACATGCTTTCATAGTGTGAGCATAATTTTTTTAAAAAGGTACAGGCAACCAACTAGCTAAACCAACTAGCCTGCTCTCGCTTATGATTACATATTTCAAAGAACTCATACCTGGTCCTGCCCTTAAGATGAAGACTTTGGAGTTGTCAAAAAAAACAAAACAAAAAAAAACACTCCCCCTAAAAATTCCCATCTCCAGGATTAGTATTTCTCTTTTATTGTCCGTTTCAACAACCGTACCTTTAGCTGCTGTTTTTCCCATGGTAAAACGCTGGATGCTCTTTCACACAGAAAAACTACAAATTTTGCAGGGGAAGTTCAGTCTTCTTTTTCACGGTACAACTGTTTCCTATGGAGGTAATATAGCATGTTAGTCCAAATAAACAATACTGTGTTATTATGCTACTGGAAGCAAAACAAAAGAAAAAGTATTACTTTTTAACTCTGCTAAGAAAGGATGAAGAAAACTGCTTTACACCTTAGCTCTAATCTCCTAAATCACCTGAAAGCAAAAGCTAACTCCCCCCTCACATCCACCTCCTTTGAACCTTTAGTAACCCTTCCCTTGAAACACCTAATAATGTTATGCTGATGTTTCTAATTCCTACTTTTCAAACACAATGCTTGTTACCCCCCCCATTGCAGACATTCTACAACCTGCACCTAGAAATTCATATGCATGAGAAGCTAGTAAAAACAGAAAAAAAATATTAGTATTCAATTCAACTGATGCAGCACATTGGAATACTGTATAAGAGAATTGTTTCTTCCCTACAATTCTACCCTTCCAGTATACACAGCATTGCATTTTAACAACTCATATTCATAAATATATTTCCTGGCATTAATAAAAATGGCTGCAACAGTTTGGCTAGCAGCAATAAAGCTGAAAAGTGATCGTTTTTATTCAATGCAAAAATATGCAGAAGATAAAAATTTAAGTCAACTTTAGTACTGTATGCCAGTTCTCTTACATGCCTGTACCTCTTGAGTTATGTTGTCATTTATTATTCCTGCCTTCTTGTGATGTGCAACCTTTATTACTTCTGATAATTTCCTATGCATTAATTCTAGATTCAGAGCAGGGAACTGATGATCCCTAAGGGATGAAATGCCATTCCACTTCTCAGTTTCCTATCCAAATTTTGATTTAAATCTGAGTAACAATGCCAAAGATGCAAACAACTCCATATGCAAAGGTAAGATACCACTTATAGCAAGACAGCAAATAACTGTGGTTTCTAACTGAAATCCTTTACCTCATGTCACCCTCCCACACAGCCGGACAGTTTCAGAAGCAGTGTCTGAGGAGTTGTTTCACAGTGCATTAGGGAGGGGATGATAAGAGAAAAGTTATCATGCACTTGGAAAAATCTGAAGGAAGCCCTTTGATTTCTGGGTTAGCAACACAAATCTATTCAGAAGTTAATCCCACTGCATTTGGTCAGATTTGTTCCCATGTAAGTGGGAATCAAGTTACAGATCAAATTAAAGCAGAAGTTGTGCACAAATAGTTTTCAGCAAACTGCTAATATTACACTGCTATTAAAATTACCCTACTATGATGTGCTAAGGAAACAATATAAATAAATATAATTAAATACAATGCAAATAAATATAATTAGAGCTATGAGCTTTAGCCAAGAAAATTCATACTGGAATAAATGTCTTGAAGGTCCCAAAATATCTTAATTGTTCTGTTTTTTGTTGCTCCTAAGTTCTAAAGGGAATCGCTTGATCAGATCTACATCATATTTTCAGCTCCACTATCATGCAAGCCTATGCTTTACCATGTAGTGCCTTATGACTTAACACAATGGTTTTAAAGTTATATTATTAAATGTGCTACAAAACCAGATGTGTCATAGTGAGAAGATATGCAAAATTAACAGTCACTTTCTTTCATAGCTGTCATTGTTTATAATTTAAGATACATTAAGATAAATTATTTAGACTTCGTTCTGTACATATTAATCTTCATTAAATATTTATTGGCCAAAGTAATTAAAAAGAGAGATGGGTATCAAAGGATTAGTTTAAAAATAATTATCTGCAATTTAAATACCACTTTAAGAACCTCTGCCATTGAAAAAGCAGTGCACAAATACTGCAATAAACTAAATAACTATATTAAAGTGCTATTGTCTCTTTCATAAAATGAAGTTCCCTGAGACAATTCTGTCTAAACTCTCCGATATTTAATACAGCTAACAAAATCTGCTGAATGTTTGCAAGTGTACTTTGAACTTATAACCTACCACATGTTACATGAGTACTACCAAGAGCACATAAACAGAAGAAGCACATAACATATTGCTAGAACATCCAGTAAAGAAATGAAAATCCATTCAAATGAAAGCAAATGAGGAACATCACATATAGCCACTGAAGTTAAAACCCGTCTCAAAGCCACTCCTTTGCCAGCAATAAACTATGAAAGGTGATGCTGAGCTAAGTGGCCCCTTTATGTGCAGACTACTTTTAAAGTATATGGGCTTTATCTTTTGTTTTTGTTGGTGTTCTAGCCACCAGACTGCACTGTAATAAAGATACCATCCGAGTAGTGATAATCCTCCCACTCAGCCACTGAACTGCCTTTTAGAAACACATAAAAGAATTCCAGTATTTCAGAGTGCTTTGCAGATTTACTCTAAAATTCATAACTGCCTGCTCATATAGCAACACAGTCTAAAAGAATAAAGGTAGCCAATATGCAGATAATGTTTAGCAACTTACAAAGTTTGGCCAGAATTCCAGTTTTCACTTCCATGCTATGACCGGGGATCACTGGCTTCCTAACTATCAGATAATAATTACAATGCAACATCTATAATCACAACAGTGTCAATGAAATATCTAGTTATAATGTTGATTTAATAGCTATTTATGTCTGTATCCTTTTCATAAACCTGGTAAGGCTACTGTTACTATACGAATTTCAAAAATTGTCCTATGCCCAACACAACTACCCCAACATTTCAAATGCATGCTGCTTTTTTCTCGTCTTCTCATTTTCTGAAAATGTAATCCATTTTAAAATACATTTGCTTGGGTACTGTTGTTTTATGTGATCTTTCCAAATATTCACAGTATTTGAGCCATAAGGATACTGCCTAAGAGTGAGAACAAACAAATAGTGAGGCATTAAGCCCAACAGTGTGATCTTAAACTAAAGAATATATTTCCAAATTCTATGATCAGGGTATGATAAAGTCTGATGTAAACCTCAATTCAGCTTTTTTAAATTACTATTTTAAAATATATTATTCAGAAAATTTGCAGTTTCAATAAGAAGGTTGTTTAAGACTTTCTTTTAAAACTACTAGTCACTTAACAAATTGTTAAAATGTGCTGTTATATGACTGAATCAATTTGGTTTTACAGCTCAGAATTACCTTCCCCTTGTTCCATTCTTATAAAACATCTGAACCTTGCATTTTATTCAGCAATCAAAACAAAGTGCCATCTAAAGTAATTTGGCTTTATAAATATGACCTCTTAAATTAGTTCTATACCATAACAGTACAGATCTGATCAGTTTACACATAAGGACAAAAGAATGTTCTGAGCAGAATCAAACTGCAACTGAAGAACATAGCCAAAGTTTTATAGGCATGTATGTTGAAAGGTATGTGGATAGTCTTTCAGCTGGTTGACAAACAGTGGCATTTCATCTATAAAAAGCTATTCCATTCAAGTAGTAATTTTACATTATTACTTGTGCACTCCGTGTAAACAAATTCTGTTAAAAGCCTACATATTTTTGGTGCTTCCACTATAAAGTTGACCATCTTGATAACTGCACAAATGAGCCTGATTTCGATGAAGATGCAGAAATTCATAAACACTTATCTATGCAAAAATTATAAACAACAGCTACTTTTGAAACTTAGAATTATAGTTTCAATTAGACAAATAAGGACAACTAAAGAAGTAAGCAATAATTATTACCTATATTAACATAGTCTCAGCTGCATATAGTTCAAAATAACCGGCTTCAGTTTGGTAACCATTTTTCACTTCTTTGGATTTTCTCACTGACTTCAAATAAGTCGATCTAGGGCTAAACTCAATTTTAGTTCCAACTAGAGTAGAGCCATTGAAATACATGCGATTTCCATTAATCCTGACTAACAAGTCTGTTCTATCCCAGTAGTTCTACTCTAGATGGAATTAGAATTGGACACATCCTTGGGTGTCCTGCAAGTTAAGAAAGAAAAAGTGCTATTTATTCAGAAAAAGAACAAGAACACCAAGTACTCTAGTCAAATGCAGATTTTAAATGATGGCTAGTGTGATACAATGGACACTAGGATTGACTTGGATCAGAGGTATCTCTTGAAAACCATACTAAGTCAAGGAACTCATTGAGTGGCTATGGTGAAGTCAGTCTCTCGTGTTAACCTACCCTCACAAGGCTGACATAAGGGAAAAAAGATGAAATAGTTTCCTATACATTGCCCTGAATTCTCTAAAATAAATATGTACATATCAAAAATAATCCTTAATCTTAATCTAAATTTTAATAGTGCATTAAATTATCCAATTCAATGAAAAGATGTTAGTAACAAATATGCCTGGAAGAAATACTACGAGGCTCCATCAAATTGAACACCTTCCCTCAGGCATGCTCACGAGTTCCCTAAATTGTCAGTGGGACACTTGTTCTCATCAGGAAATGACACTTGGGAGGGTGTACTATAGAAGCAATTTTCTGTTGCTGCCCCAGATCACAGAACTGCTTCCCTGAAACAAACACAACACTCTTGTTTGGGTTGTTTTTAGATGTTACCAGATTGTCTTTAGAAAGCAAAGGATTCTGTGATGTAACTCAGATTTTCTCCCCTAAATGTCACATAACCTAAAATCCACAAGTGATCCATTTTTCCTTTTAACCACCACTTTGTGCCACTGAAAATAATGACACAGTACTTTTAAAACCGCTATAATGGTTTCCCAGGAAAGATGTGGCACAACTAATTCAAACTGATACATGTTTATTTAAAACCAAAGCTGTATTGAGTTCAGTAAGACTTCCTCCAATGTAAGTGTGTAGAAAAATTAGAGTCCAGATGAAGCGTTGCTTTAATACGGGTTATACAAAACAAACATCTACAGAAATATATATGTAAAAAAACTAAGCCATATATGGAGGGGAAATCAGCTGAAGTTTACTTTAAAATTTAAACTTTAAAGTTTACTTTAAAATAAGTTTACTGAGGCTGAATTCTGGCTCATACACCATGCTTTATTTACTTCTTTTTCCATGCAAAACAACTCTCATGTACTTCTGCTACCACTGATTAACTTTAAATCTGGGGACACACCTGAAACATAATATTGATATTC